CGAATTAAACTGAAGGCACCAGGCGGTCTCCCATCTAAGTTCTGGTGACGAGAACCGGTCTGTTCAATATATGGCAATAGTATTATATTATTAAAATGATTTTTTTCAATGCTTCTGCAAAGTTAAAGATAGATACATGAAAATGTAGACATAATATTTTTCCATTAATTATCCAGAACCAATACAGTGATTAAAGCGCATGTATATGTATAGAAAATCTTAATATTAGATAAGACACAGTTTTGATGACAGATACAGAAATAAAAATACAAGAATTCCTACAGCAGTTATCGAGGAGAATTAATAATCATCAGTTGTAAGAAGATTAAATCCATGTTTGTTAGCAAAAGGAAGAGCCCAATATGAGAATTACAAATTGGAGAAAGAAAATTTAAGCAAGTACAAAAATTAAAAAGTCTTGAATACAAGATGAACAGAAGAAGGTAACACATAACATACCAGGTGAGCTTGTGTAAATGGTTGACTTAGTAGGGCTTAACAGAGAGAGAGAGAGAGAGAGAGAGAGAGGAGGGCAAAAACATTAGGAAGAGTTAAAAAGAACAAAAAATGTAGACAGCCATGATCGTCCACGTCCTGAATAGAAACAGCACATAGCAGAAGTCATATGGAGTATATCTGTTATATAAGGATTATATATATTATATGTATTATATTATATGTGTTATATATATTATATGCATAAAGATCGATAAAGTATAGAATTCAATAAAGGAAAAGATGGGTGATTTCTTGTTCGTCTTTTACATTATGATTTTATGTTCGTATATAGAAAATGTTTGATGTACTGTGTCTTCGAAGGCATGACCTCGACTCCAAATTAATATCGGCAAAATATTTTAAATAATTTTATATGATCTTATTTCTAAGGATTCTTGCGTAACGATACAATAAAATCAAAGGCTAGACAAAAAAAAAACGGATTTTTCAACAAAATCAATCGATATTTAAAAAACGTACGATGTAATGAAAATGATTTCTTTTATATCATCCTGTCTTGCAACATATTCTTTCGATTAATTAATTACTATTGTTTTACTCTGTAGACGAATGTTTCTAGAATCCTAGATCGCAAAGTGTGTTTTCCAACCAGCTGAAAAAAAACGCATAGGAAGTCACACGCAATTATCACGTGATTTGTATGAAGAAAAACAACGGTAGATTCTTAAAGTTTATTTGAATGTTGAGATTTAAAACAACTGTGTGGCAAAATTTATATTTTCTATGACGAGGTTTAAGAGATATGTCAAGTCTTTCATAAAGTTTATACTATTTGAAAGAAAAATCCTCTACTCAATGGCAATAAAGAATTAGGGAAACGAAAGCTATGGAACTAAAAAATATATTGACTTAAACCAAAACGCAAGTAAGTCATAATAAGAAAGAGAGGCTTATAAATACTGCATTTAGACTAAGATAATCAGGAAACATTAAATTAATCGTATTTGTCAATTCGTATATCGTATTTATATTAGGCATTCCTATGGCTAAAATATAGGATATATTTTTAAGGTATTCATCTGGAAATAATTTTACAGTAATCTTTTTTTTTTTTTTTTTTTTTTGCAAAGATCTTTTCAATATGGTGGCTAATGGCTGGTGTCTACTGAATACGTAACTGTTACATTCGTAAAAAAAAAAAAAAATTTAAGACTACTGAAAAAATATGATAGTAATAGAAATTTGTTCAAATTATATAAAAAAAAAACAGACTAATCTTCTTCCCCTATTACGCCTACACATTCTCCCTCTTTTCCACCTAACTACATTCAAGAAAGACGTGTTGAGAGCCGTCTTTTAAGACGTTGTACAATCGTGCCTCGTTACAGACGCAAAAGAGGCCCCGGATTGCGTGTGGACATATTTGTCAACACCAGTTACATCCGGGTTTTCCCTGTTAGCAGCGGAACAGCTTCGCATGTCTAGATACGGACCTCCCAGCACAAATTTTAGGGGAGATAACAAAAAGACAGTTTATTAAGTGTTTAAATGAACAGGAAATGGTGGAGAGACATAGTCGGCAAACCCTGAAGAGACACGGCATCTGAAAGAAGAATTATGGACCAGTCAACAGAATAATATCTTACAATCAGTGTTTTTAAAGTAAATGTGACCCAGACAGATATGTGTAACCATAAATTCAATAACATTTTTCTGAAGAACCTTCGACGAAGACGTTTCCGGGTTCTCAGAAAAAACAAAGGAAAAATGTCTCATTAAATCTCTTCCTTAGATTTTAGCTCATTTAGGCAGTGGGTCACATCTATTAGCCTCTTATTTGAAATCAATTTTAATGCTAAGGTGTAATTATTAACGAGATAAGCTCGCTAACCATTTCCTCATGTCCAAAATATTACAAAACTTTGGTAAAAAGGCCATAATTATGGAGAGTCCAATGAGTATCGTGCTCACTAATTAATCGGTACATTTAGTGAGAATAGCTCGCTTACCCTGAACCTACGCTGAAGCAAGTTTTAATAATTTATTAAACATAGTTGCGTTTTGCACAAGGCCAGACGTGTGTAATTCGCGGTGGGTGATCAATCTCACTATTAAGTAGTAATGCTCAGCCAGACAAACTATCTATCTACCTCTGCCGAGGCACTTAATTTGTCACTGCAATTGTGTTTACTATCACGCCATCTCAAACAAACCAAGAAGAGGGAAATAGACGGTAATACCAAATACAGCAATAAAGCTACTAAGATGCAAAGGGGGTTACTAAGAATGAGAAAAAAATTATTAGGAGTGAACAATAAAAGAACAATGCATTTAATTTTTTGAAGATCAAAGTTGACTGGAAAGTAAAAAGCTGGAAGAAAATTCCATGAGTAAAAAGTGTGAAAGAAAAAATGTTAGCAGAGAACTTAGAATTTAAACTTTTCAACTGTAAAATGATGAGTTCTTGTTGGTGATCTGCTAATGCGCTTAAGTTCATTAGAATAGATTCGGATTTTTTTAAACGTAGCTGAGACATGACACAAGGCCGAAAGTTTGGAGAAGCCAGTGAGGATCGAACTCATTATTCAATCATGACAAACTTGCTAACCATTACCCAACGTCGAAGTATATGGTAATATATGAAAAAAAAAAAATAACGTCAAGATAGCGCTTACGACCTCAATCTCCTAAATTTGTCACTTGATTCCGTTCAACTCTGCGGAAGTTGAAAATATTATCCTAAAAAAAAAAAAAATTTGCAATCCACTATTTTGTAACGACAATAAAACAATCAAAACAAATATTTTGAGAACTCCGCCGACAATTTTTTGGTTCGGGGCAAAATCACCTCAATATTAAAATATCCATTGGTTAATGAAAAATTCCTGCGATAATTTAACCTTACCAATTTGATCGAAAAAGCACAAATTCTTCAGCTTAAAAATCAAATAAAATTGCTTTCTTCGATCAATCTTCACCAAATTCACTGTTAGAAATGCTACGTGCTTGATATTTGGTTTGAATGGTTTATTTATTTATGTATTTTTGTTACGGTTTGTCAAGCTTTTTGAGGTTATTTAAAGATGAAATATATATTTTGGATTGAATGAACTTTTTGGAGATAATAAGGATTATTAATACTATTTAACCCATAGCTGGAGGAGAAAATACCTTTCCCAAGGGTATTTGCATGTAAGTGAATTCAACGAACTCGACCCTCCGATTTCTTATTCGTGGCTTTTATCACTACACCCCCGTTACATCCAAGCTTATAGCACGGAATATTCTCCAGGGGTCACCCATCTAGGTACTATCCAGGTTCAACGTTGCTTAGCTTCGATAATCAGTTTTTCAACGTGATATGGCCGTGAACCCGGTATCAGTGAAAATAATAGGCTTAGAAATAAAATGGGAAAAGAAATTATTGATTGGGCATTTTGATTGATTTATCTAATTTATATCTCCTATTCGATTTCTCTTTTCTTGTTTCTAGTCAAAAGACGATACGCTTCTACTGTTTCTACATCTTTTCGGATAACAGAAAGCGACAGGTGTCGGAAATTCATCGATTTCGCGTAAACCGAATGAGTAATTCATTTGGCAATTCCAAGAAATAATAGAAACACGGGCATTGCATGAAGACAAGACAGTGAGCAAACATACATTTGAAACTGTGAATGGCCGCATAAAATGAAACGCTTTCAGTTTTCTGCCTGTCTCCTTCCATTCATTGATGCAATTCTGATATCCCGCCAATGGAGATTCGAGAACAGAACGTTTTGGCATCTATCCATATTCCTACATGATGCAAAACGTGACTCCATGCCATGTTGTTAAAACCTGAATCACGTCGCTTGAATAACATCGGATAGGAAATATCCTGACCCTTCCTTTTAAATGTTATATCGATGCGGTGAAATAGAAATGACTCCTTGATACAAAGGCCAGTCAGCCATAACGATACACCTCAGAGTAAAACTTGTATCTTAAAGCTGTGCATGAGATGAGTCAAACGGGGTCTGGATTTGGTTAGATAATATACGCTTATCTTGTTGTTAAAAAATGTACAAATCCCATAGAGCTTGCGTTTTCTTTTAAGAAATTAAATTTTAAGTTATATACTGAAATGCCGTGAAGAATTTGTTTTATGCGTTAGAATTTACGGGACTATGAGTTGAGTTGATCAAATTCCTGTTTGAAATGCTATAATTGTTTGCAACTGAATTTGGAGGTAAAATGTGTTTGTGCGCAATTATGGATGGTTGACGTCACAAATATTTCTCTTTAAATCAGCTTTTTTTCTTTACGCTCTCTCACCTTCCTTAACGACCTTTAAAATGGTTGGCTTTGCACGGCAACTGGCCACAAGAATGTGGACCCCAGTTTAAAACAACCGCACTTAACCTTCTTTGATTTACCTCGACATTCTTTTTTATATTGTTTTGGTTCGTTTTTTTCTTTCTTTTTTTTTGGGGGGGGGTCACTTTTATTGTATTCCATTCTTTTCTTTTCCTATCAACATTGACTTATAGCTACATCACGTTGAAACGCTAATTCTCGTCCGATCACCGAAGTTAAGCAACGTCGAGCCTGGTTAATACCTAGAGGGGTGACCGTTTGGCAATACCAGGTGATGTAAGCTTGGATGTGCTAGAGGAATTGGAGTTCAGAGTGTCGAGTTCCAATTCCAGTTGGTTTCGTTATATTTATTCGTGCACAAATGCCTCTTCCGAAAAATATGAATCGACCTCTTCCCTATAAGTTATTTAGTAAGACTCGTACCACTAAACCATTATTATCTCCAAAAGCTCTTACAATCTAAAAATATGTTCTGGCTTTAAATAACCTGCAAAAAGAAATCAAGCTTTTCTGGGTTATTTCTTTTGTCTTCGGTATGGTTTTCTTTATTTTTTATCTTTCGTCTTTATTGCGTTTTCCTTTGTCGTTTCTTTCTCTTGTCTTTGTTCTGTGTCTTTTTTTTTTTTTTTTTCTTTATCCTTCTTTTTTTTTCTTTCATCTTTATTCTCCTATTTCTACCTTTTACTTTCTTTCGTCTTTACTTTCTTTCTTTTGTCTCCCTTTTTATTTTCCTTTCGTTCTTTCGTTTTAATCAGCTTTTCCTATTCTTTTTCTTCCTTCATCTTTATTGTTCTCGCTCTATCTTTTACTTCGGCTTTATTCGGCTTTCTTTCTATTATCATCGTTATGTCTTTTGTTTCTTTTTTTTTCTTTCTTTCAACATTATTCGGCTTTTTCCTTCTTTTTTTTTTTCGCTCCCCCATCCTTATTCAGCTTTGTCTTTCTTTCTTTTTCTTTCTTTCTTTCTTTCTTTCTTTCTATTTCGCATTTCGTCATATTTTCCACTCTTTCTTCCTTCGTTTTTACTCGGTTTTTATTCTTCTTTCCTTCTCTTCGTCGATTTTCTTTCTTTTTATTTCTCTCGACCTTATTCTGCTTTTCCTTTCTTTTTTTTCTCTTTCTCTTTACTTTGCTTTTTTTTTCTTATTTCTCCTCGTTTTTCTTTTTTATTTTCCCACTCATTTTTATTTTGTTATTCTTTACTGCTATCCACTTCTCACTCTTTCATTCAAATCTCCCATTTCTCCTTAACGCTTTTCTTTTTCTGCTTTCCGTTTTACTTTCATTTCATCCACATAATAATAACTTCACTCAGATGCTTAATATCCTTTTCCCTATTCAACGTCTACACTTCAATATCATTCTGATTTCCTCAAAACCTTTCACCGGTGCAAACGGGTAGACAAACACTCATTCTCTGTTAGTATATCATTTCTCTTCATCTAACTCAGTCTTTACACGAGCGTGCGCTAACTTCCACGTAACACCGCGTAAACAAATATTACCGAAAGCCTAACATTTCGACATAAGCAACAGTCTTACTCGAAGAAAGTTATTTTCGACTGACATGCGCAGTCAGCAGGAAGTGAACACTGCGTTCAAAATGATGAAGAGGTCACATGAGAGGTCGGCTTGTGCCGGGCAGATTATTCAATAAAAGAACTTAAAATATCCTGATTGGTTTCTTGTACAAAGTCGGGTAAGGGACTGATTGCAAAGAGGAAGGAAAAGGAAAAAGAACCTTTCTTTGCATTTTACTTTTTAATTTTATTTGGACTACGCTTTCTTTTTTCAGCTACGTTTTTTTATTTCTTCTCCTTCGAAACGTTTAAAGTTGAAACTCACTTAATCTCTCTTAGAAGTTTACCTCTTTTTACCTTCTTTCTGTCTTGCTTTTTTGCTTTCTTTCTCCTTTTCTTTTTTTTTTTTTTTTCTTGTTTGCTTTCTTCGCTTTCTTTCTGACTTTCCTATATTCTAACTTTCTTATTTGGTTTCTTTCTTGCTTTTTTCCTTGTTTTCTTCATTGATATCTTTCTTTCTTGCTTTTTTGTTTGTTTTCTATCTTGCTTGATTTCTTCCTGCCTTTGTTTCTTTCTGTATTTCTTGCTTTTTCCCGTTCTTGCTTTTTTTACTTTCTTGCTTTCTGTCTTTCTTGTTTTTTTTCTTTCTTACGTTCTTACTTGGTTTCTTTCTTTCTTTCTTTCTCTCTTTCTTTCTTTCTTGCTTGCTTGCTTTCTGTCTTTCTTTCTTTCTTTCTTTCTGGCATTCTTTTTGTCCTTCTTGCTTTTGTTCTTTTCTTGCTTTATTGCTTTCTTTCTTACTTGCTGTTTTCTTTTCTTTATTTCATCTTTCTTTCTTTCTTTCTTTCTTACTTTCTTATTTTCTTTCTTTTTTCGTTCTTTCTTCCTTACTTACTTGCTTTCTTCCTTTTTTCCTTCTTTCAACTACATAACTACAGAATCAATACTAAATAGTTATTCTCAATGGAAGATATTTACTCACTTCGTTTGTTTCTTTTTATCTCTTTCTCGGAATTTATTGAATTACAATAACTCAGACTGACTCTGCATCTACAGATCATAGGCAAAGAACGAGCGTTCTATCCTGACAAGTGCTAAATTTTGTTTCATTTTCTTTTGCTTATGTATATAAATATAGCTATCTGGTGAACCTAGTGAATATATCAACAGTAAGGTTCAATTCTATGACTGAAGCAGGTGATCGATTCATTCTAAGTTATAGAATAAAATGCTCATATTCGATAGATCCATAAAATAATTTGTGAAGTGCATCATGTTAATTCTCATATCATAGTTATAGTAAAATCTGTCTTCCCTCTCACAAAGACACACACACGTGCAGATAAAACCATAGGTTAATCCCGTAAACAATCACTACAATCTTTACCACTTTGAGTCTAGTCTTAGCCGTTATTATTTCCTGCACTTCTTACCTATTTTACGCTCATACAACACCATGCAGTAACCCTCTGGCTTCAGAGTCTCTTGGGCCTTGTATTGTTGAATACTAGTATAGTATACCACACTTCTATGGTTTGTGTAGCAAGTATATTCTTGACGAATTTTGTTGAGAACCTCATGCTGAACAAATTGTGGAAATGCTGATGAGTTTACGAGTATCTGTTTGGAAGGGAACTTCTCAGCCAGGATAATACTCCTGTTAATGATACATTAGAATTTCATTATGTCCTAGCTAAGAAATCTATGACAAAAATGAAACATCTACCTTATGGATCAGACTTAGACCCATCCATCTTGATTTTTTGCTATTTCCAAAAATTTATGTTCGAAGGGGAAAACCCTATGGTAATACTTCTACGGATGATGCCTTACGAGTTACCAATAGCCTGACTAAAAAATGCATTAAAACTTTGTGCCATTTACCTTTATTCATCATACTTGGCCGCATATGATTTACTGAAAATGCATTGAAAGTACCAAAATCAGTTGATATCTCTGACTTCACTGAAATATATTCCGGAAAATGAGTTCCAGTAATTGAATTGACATCTCACAAATTGTATAGTTTCATAAGAGAAATATTTCAAAAGCAAAATCAGCAAGACATACGGAAATTAAATTATAAAACCTCGTATACATACATACATACATACATACATATATATATATATATATATATATATATATATATATATATATATATATATATATATATATAAGTGTGTGCGTGTATGTGAATTGGGATCAAATATAGATTCGAATCGATTCCGATAGAATGATAGGATAAGCACTAAGTAGAAAACGTTTATATATCTAAAATGTTTCGCTTTTATTAAAGCTTACTCGGAGAATAAAGTTTCATATTTCATTCTCCCGAGGAAGATTTAATAAATGCAAAGCATCTTAGATTTATAAACATTCCTATTTGCACCACATCCTTTACCGTACATTATTTCTGTTTTGAGTTTATTTTACTCTCTAAAAATATCAGTTATTGTGGAAGTCAAAATCTCAGATCGCATCATCAGGATCAATAACAAATCATTTCGTGTGCAGTCATTGAGTCCCGACAGTTTGAATACTACAATATTTTAAAACTTGTATTGTATAGTGGAGTAATGGATAGGGGCTCGGTTTGAGGAATCGGAGAACTGAGTTCGAATTCCAGTCGAATCCATTACGTTCACTGACATGCTAATATCCTTGAGAAAGGTATGAATCCTCTTCTTCTCCCTTAGCAGGACAGAACAGGTTCTATAGCCTTGGATGGCAACTAGTCTACTGCAAAAAGAAATAGCAACCTACTGCGGGGGAAAATCTGCCTCGTCAGTCATATATCATGATACATGATCGCCTAGGAGTGTATCACGCATGGCACATAACTGTAGATAATAAAAATACAAGACAGTCAGAACCGAATTTGTTCTGAGAGAATTTGATCTGTGGTGTCTTTAATATGTACTGGAATTACCCTGACAGATACCAAAATGTATTTTGCCACTATTTCTCTAGACATTTGTATTCAGAGTTATGTTTCTTCTATCCCTGCATAGAGACCCTAGTATATCCAAATATTTAACCCATATCTGGGAGGGAGAAGAAATGGATTCAATGAATGCAACAGAAAAGACTGAAATTTGAAAACCGATTCGGTTTTAAATGCTGATAAACAGAAAGCCACCAGTACTTCCATAAACCTTTGTTTAGTACATTATGAAAACAGTTGGGAAAAGATTGCAGAGCGTCAATCATCTAAGTTAGGAGAAACTGTCTTGGATATCAACATTCTAGATGTTGATGTTTCAAATAAAGGCATCAGTTGAAAATGTGCAATAAAGGAAGACCTCATTATCGAAAGAAATTAGTCTGAGACACCTGGTGAGCTTCAAATTTATTATATTAAAATAGTATGCAAGACCGGCTTGCAGACCACTGCTTTACAATACGATTCTTTTTTTTCACAATTTGAAACAGAAGTGTAATATATAATAAATCATTCGGTTTTTTTTTTCCATTTGTTATTGCTCTCTTGACTAAGATACTTTTAATTAGTAGATAATTAGGGGTAATAACCAAAGAGGTTTTCTTGTGGCAGAGCCTAGTAAATCAAAGAGACATTAAATTTGAACGCCTTTACTTTTTTTGTTTTCTTTGTAATGTTAATTATTTGCTGTCTCTAATGCTCTGGTTAATAAACACGCCCTTTCGTATTTACAATCCGAAGATATCCAATCTCAACTATTTTTCTCTCGCTTTCTACCTCTTTCTTTCTTTCTCAAAAACTCTCTCTCTCTCTCTTTCTCTCAATCTCTTGTTCTTTTTCTCGATAAAATACTTAAAAGGATCCTTTGCGTTCTTTTTTTCTTTTTCTTCTTCTTCCCATTGGAGTTTGAAACATCCATTTACATACAACGGTATGCAAAGGAAACCGGAGATCTTGAGAAACTGATTTTGCAATTCACTCCTTATTCAAGTCCTTATATTCTTGAGAAATGAACGATTCACAAGCACTATATCTGTACACACACAAAAACATGTGTGTCTATATGTGTATAAATATAAAAGCATATATTCATACATACATACATATATATATATATATATATATATATATATATATATATATATATATATATATATATATATATATATTATATATAAACATTTTATTTAAACATTCTTTTTATAGATACAAGTATTTAAGTAAATGCTCTGTTTATAATAAACAGTATTAAATAACATTTACCGGCCTGAATGTTATTTAATACTGTTTATTATAAACAAACATTAATACTTGTATCTATAAAAAAGAAAAAAATAAAAATATCTTTAATAAATTGTCGGAGTTTGTCCATTTCTTAATATATATATATATATATATATATATATATATATATATATATATATATATATGAGATGATAACGAATAGAGTACAATTCCAATGTTCGTAACATTTAATTTAAAAGATGGCTCAATACAAAATAGAGTCATATTACTTATTTTAGGATATCATATTGTTTTTGGTGTAATATATATATATATATATATATATATATATATATATATATATATATATATATATATATAAAAAAAAAAGAATAAAATCCCAACGTTCAAAGTGTGTGTGCGTGTAAATATAATTATAATATATCACACACATAGTGCTGGGGTTAATAAAACCACGCTTGATGTAATATAACAGAGCTATTAAATATCTATTAATAAATAAACATATTATCAGTCACCGCTATCACGGCTCGGTGTTTCAT